TTTATAGTGTTCCTACAATGGAAACATAATTTGTTGATGAATATGCACTACTGTACAAAAAAGGATTTAAAAATACATGTAAAACATCATTTTAAACCCTAGGGTGGGTTTCTGAAGAGAAAAGTGTGGTTTTTGTTGTTAGTTTTAAACAGACAGCAAGACAAATATTTAATTATACTGACTTTGTAGTTCAGACAGGAGTCACACTTTTAAAAGAGAAAATGCACTAAAAGTGCTTGCCACTCATGTAAAATATCACTTGTCATATGAATCTATTCTTGATGTGTATATGAGCCAAAATTATTTCAAGTTATAAAAATCTAATTTATATTCCATAAATAACATGAGTAAGCATCATTTCCTCATTTTCATCAGTTTTCTTCTTGAAGTTTCGATTTTCTACCTAAAAGGATGTATTTGATAGTAAAAAGTTGAATGAGTGTGCTATTAAATACTATACATTTACCAATACAAGTTGGAATAATACTAAAATATTTTGAGTATCCATAATTTTATTACAGTAGGAACAAAAACTCAGAAAAAATAGTCAATGAAAAGCAATAAAAATTATAATATCTCCTTGGATTTATTGTATCCACTCAGTATAAATATACTACATCATCTATATTTATATGTATTTTTTAAATCCTCACCTAAGGATATGCTCATTGATTTTTTTGAGAAGAGAAGTGGGTGGAGGGGGGGCAGGAAAGACAAAGAGAAATTTTGATGGGAGAGAGAAGCATGGACAGGTTGTCTTCAGTACATGCCCCAATTAGGGACAAACCCACAACCTAGGTAAGTGCCTGACAGGGAATCAAACCTGCGACCTTTTGGTGTCTGGGATAACGTTCCAACCCACTTAGACACACCAGCCGGGGCAATATACTACATCACTTTTAAAAAGGGAGAAGCATATAAAGCCAAATACTTCATTTATGAAAAATATGTAATTTACTTAGCCAATGAATTTTCTGATTGCTGAGTTTTTTAATGCTCTAATTTGAGGGGAGAAATTAAATTTTATAGGAAAATAATAAAAACACAAAATCACTTCAAATACACAGATTTAGGTTAGTCTAGTTACTCTGTACTTCCCAGAAAGGCATTCATTTGAAAAATGAAAGAGTGGCACTGGATGACCTCCATCCAAGGTTCATGGCAGCACCAACATTCAGAGATTCTATCAACACCCTTCTTTTCATTGTGAGTGCTAGCCATTACCTGTAGTAACTTCTCAGTCAAAACATAAATACTTTGAAGTCAATCATTTGTATTTCTATTCAAAAGTAAAATAAATATAGGAAACAAATAAGCTATGTAATTCACATGGAAGCACTAATAGGCGAGATATAGCAAATTAAGTAGTAGCAACATTTAAGAAAATATTCTAGCTGGCTTGGCTCATACAGGTATTTCACACATACATAATGACTCAAACAATGACCATTGAATGCTTCTTCCTATATTGGAAAGTGAACAAAGAGAAATGTTCTAAAGGCTTTTTTATGGTTCAATGACCTCAGCCAACTTGCCAGCTTACGGTCTTCAACATTTCATTTCGAAAGAGCTACAGCCCACACAATGCCTAGGGAGCTAACTATTCCTATGCTGGATGTATGTCTTCACTATCGGATTCACTTCTATAATGCATGCTAGCTATAGGATGGTCATTTTAGAACCCAATTGCCTGACTTAACCTATGTCTCCCTCTACAAGTAACCTCCTCTATCCCACCCTTTTCCTATTCTAATTACAAAATAATAATGATAATACCCCGGTCAGTGTGGCTCAGTTAGTTGGGCATCCCTGGCACAGAAAGATTCCCAGTTTGATTCCTGGTCAGGGCTAGATCCCTGAAAGGGGGCTTGCAAGGGGCAGCTGATTGATGTTTCACTCTCATAGCAATGTCTCTCTCTCTCTCTCTCTCTCTCTCTCTCTCTCTCTCTCTCTCTCTCAAAAAATCTATTAAAAATTAAAAACAACAATATTAACAGAACAACAGTTCCTAATGGTAAAAAAAAATACACAAAATTATTCCCATCCTTTGAGAGAGGATACCTAGTTCTTCATCTTACTTTTTTTTCCTGTGTTGTGTTGCAAAGAGCACAGGCAAGAAAAATCAATTTGATCTAGTTCTAGTCCCAGTTTTGCCACAGTATAGCTGTGTAAGCTTGTATAAACCACCATCTCTGACTCTAGGATTTCTCATATAAGCAAGAGTTTTGCTACACAATCCCAGGGTAAGCCATCACACTGTGCTCCAGGGATGACATCCACAAAGTATCTGATGTGAACCGTGGCCCTGTAACTGTGTGATGTGAGGTCCACCCTGCCAGTCCTCATCACATTTTCATTCTGCAACATCATGATTCTGAAAGCTGAGACCTTCACCGTGTAATTTCAGTACTCCCCCTGCATTTATCAAGTTTCAATATTGGACATATCAAACTTGGTGAGCTATGACAAGAGACTGAGAGACACTGAATGTGTCAGACCTGAAATCAGATATACAACCGTGGCCTTTCCCATTCAATACTTAGCTCAGTTTCACCGTCTCAGCCTCAATCCCTGGAAAGTCTGGGCAACGGAATGTGACCACGGTACCACTGGTGATTCAATTTGAAGTTCACAAGGATATGGGTTAGTGAGTTCAAGAATAACTTAAATATTAAGTGAGCATAATATCAAAGTCCTTATAAAACAGGTGCTCTCAAGTAGTTTTTCTTTCTGGTGGTTAGCAACTTCCTCCCAATCCAGTTAAAGAATCCTCGCTGAAATTGAGATGTGGAAGGTGCTATCTCCCTATAAGTAGTCTCATGCCCTGTTACCTGAATCATGGTTACTGCCAGCAAATCAGAAGATCAATTATTTGGCTTTGTTAGTAAAGATGATAGCACACCATTGTCTTCCCAGAAAGCTTTCTGGTAACCCACACTCACATTCTTCTAAGCTAAGCTGCAGCAAACGAAGTGCCTGGTGTACAGATACATACATGTCATCCTTGCATTGGGTCTGTCTTAACAGGTATTGTCATCTTTCTGCCAGATTATTACTGTGACACTTTTGCTAAAGGAAGTCACCAGTCAGGATCCTCTCTGCCAAGATGTATACTAAGTAGATGAAAAAGAGGAGCAGATTAAATGAACACTGAAGAAAAAATTAAACTCAGCAATTCCCTCAAATTCTCTATTTTCTAATGAGATGCTAAGAAAAGGGCCACAGGAAGCAATTTCCCTATGCAAAAGTCAGCCATGCAAACAGCTCATCTGCAGATCAACTTCAACAAAGATGAGGTGAGTTTACTTTATCCATTCATACATACAATCCACCTGTCATTTTTATTAGCTAGTTTTGAACTGAGGAGGCTGAGTAGGATCTATTCACAAATATCGTGTAATTGTCCTAACTACAGTGCACAACATACTTCAGAGACGGAGACATAAGAATCACATTGAATTCAGAGGCTTGAAGTTCCTTGTAGACTACATAAGCACTGAGAGAAGATGGCCCCAAAGGATCACTGCACAATACCAGGGAGTTTATTTTCCCCTAATGCAAATTACTCGCTGTGCAGAGGCAACCCTGGTTTTTGCATAAAGCTTCAACTTATGAAATTAATTGGATGCAAAATAACAGAGACTTTAGTAGCTCCTGCCTTGGGATCATAATGATTTGGTTTACTCCTGAAATTTACTATTTTATCAACATCACAGAATAAGAAAAGGAGCCCACTACAAAGAAAATAATGTCATGACAATCTAATGGAAGAATGAGATGAGGTGGCTTCTTCACAAGACTTAATCCCAAATTTCTAAATTAATTGTCAAATCCCAACTGTCTAAACTTTCCAAGCATTCTCCTCACCCCAACTGAACCTGGCCTATATGCCTCATTCCTGGAACCCAGGAGAACATCACGGAGTTGCAAAGATCCAACGTAAATGAGTCCACTAATCACAGAATGGAAGCTTTCTTTCTGGGCAGCACTTCCTGTCAGTCATCCACAGTATAGACAGAATATGTGCAGATTATAAATGACCCAGCAGGCCACACCCAGAGGACCAAAAAGGTCTGGTGGAGGCACAGAATAAAATTCTGCTTTTATTCTCTCAAGCTGGGACACTGGCCTGGCTTGAGCTGGGACCAATCACTCTGAAACTCCAGGGATCCAATTTCCCTTTGTAAACAGACACACATTATGGACCAGCCATTAGAATTAAGGGCCAAATAAGAGAGTCAGCCTCAGAAAGGCCTGCCAAGGAAATCTCTAGGTCTAAAGTTTTCTTTCCCCTCCCTGCGACCAAACTGCAGGTACTATGTTTCCCCCTTACTGTCGCAAAAGTAAGTGTGAGTGTACAAACAATGGGAGTCACAGGGCAGGAAAGTTCATGAGCAGAGTCCTTGGAAACCATGAGAGTAGCTGGCGGTAGAGCATAGGGAAAGCAGGTCTATGTGAAAGGGCATGTGGGAAAACGGGGAGGTGAGACATTGACAGGAAGATCTGAATGGCGCAGTACCATGTGTTGCTGGAGAAAGAGTTAGAAAAAGAGAATAAATTTAAGCTTGTCTGATGTCTACTAAGGGTCTATTATGAGTCATAAATATGCTAAGAAGGATGAGATATAGGGATAAAGGGCTTATTTATACTTAGGTTCTCAGTAGATAATATAAGGGATGGATGGATGGATGGATGGATGGATGGATGGATGGATGGATAAAAAATGAATGAGGAGGTGCGCTGAAGGATTCTACAGGCTACATGTGCAGAACTCTCATCCTAGGCAAACCACAGGTACAGCAAGGTAGAAGGTGTTTCTCCAAATATGGGACAAGAAGCTGGTAATTGAAAGAGGGTGACAGATGTCTGAAAATTAAGAAAGAAGGGGGGCCAGAATGGAAGGGAATACTGGTTCCCTTCCAAGCCTGTTCCCAGGTGTTTTGCGGAAGGGGAGGAGGGTGTCAGCCTCTGGGGAGCCCATTGTTGGGGTTTCTACTGACCTGGTCTCCGCCTCACTGGCCTCTTGCGGCCGCTGCAGAAGCGCACTTTGCTGAATACCCCGAGGACGTGCCTTTCGCACAAGGAGCGCCCGTCTTTGCTGGGGCTGGAGCGGCGCTTGGAGGCCGACACCCGGTCGCTGTTGGACTCCCTGGCTTGTCGCTTCTGCCGGATCAGGGAGCTGGCTATAGCCGCAGCCATAGCGGCTCAGTGAGGGACACCAGCCCTGGGCTCCACTGCGCCCTCAGGATTGCTCTCCGCGGGGGCTAGGGCAGGACCTCGGGGCCTGGAGGCGCGGGAGGCAGTGCTAACGTTTGAAAAGGCTGCCGATCCGAAAACCCGCGCCCACAAGGTTTATCAGAGTCTGGGCGGCAGCGCCAAAACGTGTGAGAATCCAGATGTAAACTTCCCCCAACAGCTGGCGGAGGGGGCGGGGGCGGGGCGCTCCCAGGCCTTCCTGCTAACTAGACTCGTGCGCCCCGAGCGATCAGCGTCCAAGGGGCTCTGGGGAGTTTGGTCACCCCGCCTTCAGAGTACCCAGTGGAAGGGAAGAAAGATGTGCGAAACAACCAGCCGTGCCCCTGTTGCAGAGGCGCAAGCGTTGTAAGGTGTCCAAAGTATTATCTACACAGACATCAGACAAAACCCGGTTAGAAAGCAGGGTCTGGCCCAGCCACGGAGGCTTGCCCCCGTGGACAATACTTAAAAAGTGAATAAAACGTTCCTTTCGAGAACAAGCCACCAACCGCAAGAGAGAAGGCGAGCAAGGCAGCAATTTAACTCCCTGCGGCCCGCAGTTCTGGAGATGAGGAGGTCCTTCCCGGCGGGGTGAGGTCTGAGAACTGCATCGCTCCAGCCGCCTTTCTCACATTCGGAGAGGCGCGCAGTGGGAGCGGGGAGCAGGAGGCAGGGCAGGGGCTCGGGGAGGGGGCCGCTAGGAACCTCTGCGGTGAGCGGACTCCCCGCCAGCCAGCAGCGCTGCAAAGAGGGCAGGAGGCTGGGGCGGAGGGAGGGAATGAGGGGCTGGGAGGAAGGCGAGGGAAAGGGAGGGAGGAGAGGGAAAGGGAGGGAGGCAGGGAGGGAGGGAGATCCTCGAGGGCTAGGCACTCCTCGGGGAGCAACCCGCGGGAGTGGGGATACCGGGGTCCCGAGAGCGGGTGCTCTTTCTTTTCCGCTGGCTTTCTGGCAGGAAACGGGCACAGTCGGTGAGTATTTAGGGAATCCTAAATCTGGAATGACTCAGTCGTTGGAATAAGCCCCCTCAAAAGGCAGCGATGCTGAAGGTGTCCTCTCCAGCGGGCGCCCACACGCCTTTAACTGGAGCTCCCCGCCATGGTCCTCCCGCAGGCAGCAGAGCCGTCTCGGCACAGACTCAGACTCAGAGGGAGCAGAGGAAGGAGGAGGTGCCCCAGCGGGCGAGCTGGATCAGGTCATCTCCGCCAGGCCGGCCCCAGGTTCGCACCCCCGGCAGTCGATGGCTCCCAGGCAGCAGATCCGATGGGGATTACCGGCGGACAGGAGGCTGATCGCTCAGTCAGCGGGGCCCATCCCGGCTGAGGACGGAAGTAACCGGTGCGCTGTGATCACCCGCGTGTCCGCTCCGGTGGGGCGGGGGCTGGCTGCCGGCGACCTGGGCTCTAGGTGGCTGCGGCTCCGGCCCCGAGCTGCCCACCATGGTCTAGCGCCAGGGGCGCAGGCGGGGCCCTTGGGCCATCTGGGGCCACTGCGGGAGGCGGCGGAGCGTCCAACAGGGTCCTGAGGCCGGATGCAGACTCTGGGGCCCCACCGGCCAGGAGGCAGGTGAGGGCTGCTGCCAACTCGCCCAACTTGCGCGGGTGGCCGCTCAGAGCCTTGGGCTAGCGGGGCTTCCTTCGTTGGGGACCCAGGCCCCGGAGGGGGCTCTCAGGGTGGATTCTCATTCATGAGCTGGGGCTCTGGGCACCGGGAGCTGAACCAGCTCCCATGCGCTCTCACCGCCTCCCAGTGAGCTCTGCTTGCTGGGCTAGAGCGCTAGCTCCGTGCAGGGACGGAAACTCCATGCAGGGACGACTGCTGATGAGACAGGACCAAAAGCGGTGGCGGTGGGAGTACCTCCGGCGCTGCTAGTCCACCCGCCAGAAGGCTCCAGAGCGCCCAGGTGGGGCCAGGTGGGGGACGGGCTCCAGGAGCGCAGGAAGAGCCAGCCGGGCTCAGGTCCTCCTCCTCCTCTGCCTTGCGCCCTCTGCTCCCAGACTCCCTTCTTCTCCTTCCTGTCACCCCTCTCTACCTTCTCTGTCTTCTGTCTCTCCCCTTTTCTCCTCTCTACGCAATCCTACGTGATTGAGGTTTGGATGAGAAATTCTCAGGCAGAGCAAGGAAACTGCAGCTTGGGTCGGCTCTGTCCGGTCCCTCCCCCGAGAGAAAACACCACCCCAGCGCTTTGGAGGACTCTGAGTGTGCAGGGAAGGGATTCAGGGTGTGGGAGCTGAAAGAAGGCAGTGCATGCTCTCTCCAATAATCTGGAGCAGGTAGAATTCTCTGTTTTTCTTGGGCCCCCAGGTTGGGCCCCACGTTTAGCTCATCCTGGATAGGAAAAGGGTTTTCCCTTCCTTTGAACCAGATTTCTTGGTTCTATCTGGAAAGTTGTGAAACATGCTCACACCCTAGAATGAGGAACCCAGTGAGCACCCTGCACAAGGGAGGATGGAGGTAGGGTGAGAGGGAGACTGTGGACAAGGGCAGTCAGCAAGCAGCTTTGGAGAGCAATCGGGTCTCTAGGAGTGCTTGTGGGGACTGCTGGATATTACAGAAAACTCAGCAGCAGAGATCATGCCACCCAAGTTAAAGTGCAGCATGCCAGATTTTGGAAATGCAAAAGGAGTCATCACCTTCCATTCATGCCACGGTCTCAAAGTGGCTATCAGTTATATTTACATTCTCTCTTCAACTTATCTTCAGATATCCCTAATGCCTCCCCTTAGACACCTGGCTAAGTGTCAAAGGTAGTGCCCAGAGATTAAATGGGTGATTTCCAAGCAGAAACAGGTGTATGTTGAAACCAACCTAGTAGAAGGCAAGGAAAATGCAGGCCCTGGAAGGTACTGAAAATATGTGGGACCAGAAGAGGCTCCAGGAACTCTCTTCTCTGCCTGTGGTCACAAACCTGTGGACCTACCAGAAATTCACCTAGGCAATGAGAAGGATTGAGGTTTGTATGGTGTTTAGACCAGGCACTACTATGTCAAACAACCCTACTGTGTCTGGGGGGGTCTGGACCTTTCATGCTACCTCTGGCATAACACAGGCAGATGGGGTTATGGGGCAGATAGCTGGAAGGAAGATTCCATAGCAAGATGTCCGAGAGGGGGGAATCCCAACTGTCAGTGGGCAGCAGAGATCCCCTGCAGTAGTTTAGTGTGGCTGAATTAGGACAGAGAACTTGGCATTTTAACATTACAGAACAAAATGTGTGAATACATTTTTAATAGTACATCTGGGTGGGGCAAGGGGGCTCATCATTTTAAATTAATACTTTCAGCAATAAAGATAAATTACTAAGATCGAAGTAGCACTGGACCAAATAGGCAAATGTTCACATTCCACAGATAAAATTGTTTTCCTTCCTTGGCTACCAGAAGACCTGTCTCATTCTTGAGGAAGGCAGGCACAGATAGTACTAGCTGTCTTTGGGGCTCCTTGCCTTTTTCAGTTCAACATCCAAGAAGAAAAAGGTCAGCTAAGGTGAGGAATCTTAGCAAGAGGTGGGTGTATGGTGAGGCCTTGAGAAGATCATTGCTAAACTCTGAGTCTCTCTCCTATGCTCAAAATGGTGAGAATCATTCTGAACATCCACCTCATAGAACTAAATATGTATGCGCAAGCATTTGGAAAACTGGAAAATGCCAAACGAGTGAAAGAGATGATGACAGTGTAGTTTTTTGTGTTGTGTTTTGTTTTTTTTTTAAGAAAATGCATACTATTTTTCTGAGATGCTTTTTAAAATGCAGGTTCCTGATGATTTCTCACAATGTGTTGAAATCTCTATGAATAGAACCCTGGAATTTGGCGGTTTTTTAAAAATATTTTTTATTGATTTCAGAGGAGAAGGGAGAGAGAGAGAGAGATAGAAACATCATGATGAGAGAGAATCATTGATTGGCTGCCTCCTACACACCCCCTACTGGGGATTGAGCCCACAACCCAGGTATGTGCCCTGACCAGGAATTGAACCATTGACCCCCTGGTTCATAGGTCAGGCTCAACCACTGAGCCACACCAGCCAGGCCAGGAATTTGAGTTTTTAACAAGTTCCTCAGGTGTCAGAGTTTGAGAGTTTAGTGTGTGTGTGTGTTCAATATATATATATATACACATATATATATATATATATGGAAGATAATATTAGAAGGAAGAAATAAACTCAGACTTTCAAAATCTAACACTTTTCTTCAAGATTACAGTGCCCCCTACTTCCCTCCATTCAAAAAAGGGGAGGGGACCTGGAAAGAGGATGTGCATTATCTAATCTTTGAGTTTATTTTTTTCTGTGAGTTTATGAGAAATAAGCATGTTTTGATGCAGCAGGTAACAACTATAGCAGTCATAAGATAGAAGAGAATGATGGGGGAAAGATGGAAAAGCAGGTAACAGTGGCTGTTTGAAGTTCTCTCTGTCTTGACATGACAGCATCAAATTAGGCATTTAAGGAAGAAAACGAAAACAATAAATGTCAGCTTTTTCAGAGCGACATCATTCCTGTCTTTAGATCTCTATTAAAAGAACATGGTGATTAGACAACAAAGACTTCACTTTCCCCCCTGCACTCTGCAGCTACTGTCACAGTGCTTTTCAGCTGTGTAGCCCTTTAAGTCTTCATCAACATCATTATTCCATTTCCCCAATGTGGGGGGGGGGGGGGTAAGCATAGGGAATTTTAAGAAGTTATGTAGAACCTATGTACAGGGCCATTGAGATCAGAAATAATAATTGTTTTATATCCATAAATTCATAACTTTCTTACCTGGGCCACTAAATCTTATAAGTCTTCCTCCTTGGTTACTAGGACACTACTGATATATTTGTATTTTGGGGTCAGGAATGAAATTAAATCAGACTACTAATGATTTAGGTAAAACAATCAGGTTCTTTTAAAGGAGAATATCCGAGGGACAATAATACCTTGATTTTTAGACTGTCTTTCTTTGCACAACTTGAGAATTTCCCTTTACAATTCTGGAGATATCGTGGGTGGAAACATTTTTAATTACTTTGGAGAAGGTTGCCAGTATACATTGAAAGGTAATTAGATAGTTACATTTATATTTCTGACCTCCAATCAAACAAAAAAACATGGACAGGCTTCATCTTCTGCATATTTTTAAATAATATGTTTTTATTGATTTATTTTTTTAGAGAAAGAGGGAAAGAAGTTAGAAACATCAATGATAGAGAAACATTGATCGCCTGCCTCCTGAATGCCCCATACCAGGGTCTGAGCCCACAACCCAGGCATATGCCCTGACCAGGAATTAAACCAGCAACATCTTGGTTCTTGGGACAACACTCAGTCCACTGAGCCATACCTGCTGGCCCATCTTTTCCATATTTTAAAATGACAAAACACAGACTATTTAATAGTCTTTCTCTTATTCATAGGCCATGTCTTCCAACTCCCAAACCAAACTACTAGGACCACTGCAGTCATTCACTTCAAATTCTGAACTGAGCACAGATTGCATCCAAGGCTCTGTTTTGGTTACTAAGGGTAACTCTACACCTCTATATTCTCTCTGCCCTCAGCAAGCTTGAGTGCATACCATCATGATGTTATTTGTCTCTGGTCTTAGTCACCCACTAGCTGTATGCCACTGGGCAAGTTATTCAATCTCTCTAAAGCAGATCTGAAAAATAGACCAATGAAAATAAAACTAGTAGTACCTATGTAAATAGGCTGCTGCAAGGCTCAAAGAAGAGTGATAATGATATAAAACATAATGTGTAATTCATACACATCATCATTCACTCCTGGACATAATGCATTTAACAAAGGCTAGACATCAACTTGACATTGTAATGGCAAACAAAATTTTCATTAGTGGAATATTGTCAATGTTCTTATCTGTTGGGAACACAAAGGAACCTAGCTCTGTTCATACATCATCCCTCTTTAAGAACAGCCCCTGTCTCAAAGCTTTGTGAATACGAGATCCCTAGGCTCTCAGACAGCAAGCTCAATGGGCAGAAGAAGACCATTTCTCCATGAATTTCATCCGATACAGGAACTATATTTCCATTTTCTTTTCTCTGCCAGATAGTCTGTTAAAATAGGTCAGCAAAAGCATAATTACTTTCTAATAATTTGTGAATTCCTTCATACAACAAATGTATTTATGGTGTTTCATTCAACAGTTCAACAATTGAATTACTACAGGTTATGTTTCTCCGGCTTTGGTCATCTCTCAATATATGAAAGACAACAGACTTAATTCTTCTTTATAACACATGTTAATGGTGGTATCCTTATTGCTCAAGTAGAGACATTATCAATGTCTTAGAGAATGTCTCTTTTTGATAAGAAATATATGACTAATTGGAGTCTCAGTTTTTCTGTAAAATTGAGCCGATGCTAAGCTTCCCGCACAGTAATAAGTGCATTGCAATTATAGACATATTGAATCCTTATAACAACACTTCTGAGGTAGGTTCTGCCATTATCCTCATTTTATAACTGAAGAAACTGGGTCACAAAGAGGTTAAATTGATTTATCAAGGTCACTCAGCTAAGAATCAGTCAGGTTCAAATGTAACCCATGTAATTTACTTCCTTTTATCCTCTATGTTACACTTGAAAGAGAACAGTATTTTGCCACCCTAAAACTGTCTTTTAGGATATTGATTTTAAGTTGCTTATTAAGAAACAAAAGACTCAGAAAGAACATTTTCCCCTTTTCCTGCCCAAGAGATTCAGATGTAAAGACCTGCTCCAGAAAGAAAATCTTAGCCTATTCAACTTAGCCTAAATTGAGTTAAGTATGGTAGATAGGAAGGCTCCAAGCAGGAGCTTGTTAACTGGGTCACCCCACCCCTCATATGACCCATGGTGTCCGAATTGCCTAGCAGGAATTGCTTGCCATTCTCTTAGGCTACACCTAAATTGCCCATTTTTACTTTTGAAATCTAAGAACTTGT